GAGGTATCTAAAATCCTGAGCCAAGAAGGGCTGAACTCCACAATCTGTATCCGTTACGCAAATCGAGCAGATTAGCATCTATTCTGTTTGTTTTGCATACTTCAACCTGCTTTTGGAGGCACAGGAGGGATAATGCCGAGGAGCCAAGCCCCGTCCCAGGACCGAGGACAGCCCTCTGCACTTCCAGATTTCAGAAGACATTTCCACCCCTATTTTCAAGCCTTTCTTTCCAACCCAAAGGAGGAGATCCTTTTTTTAGAAGTGAAAGTTGAGAGTTCTGTGTGCTGGTCTTGTATTGCCCAAATGACGAAGAGAAGAAGAAGAGATTGGATTTATACCCCGCCCTTCACTACCCGAGGGAGTCTCAGAGCGGCTTACAAACTCCTTTCCCTTCCCCTCCCCACAACAGACGCCCTGTGACTGTGAGGTAGGTGGGGCTGAGAGAGCTCTTGACAGAAACTGCTCTTTTCCAAGAACAGCTCTTATCAGAACTAAGGCTTGCCCAAGGTCATCCAGCCAGGTGCAAGTGGAGGAGTGGGGAACCAGACCCGGTTCTCCCAGATTAGAGTCCGCGCACTTAGCCACTACACCAAACTGGCTCCTGAATGCTGGGAAGTGCAGGTTTTGGTCAGAGATTCTTGGGTAGTGATTCCTAGTCCTGCCATATGACTACAATGGCTAAGGTTACTTAGGTGGGAACCATGACGTGTGGGTGTGCGCGCGCGCATGTGTTAAGTGCCATAAAGTCACTTCCAACTTATGGGGACCTGACAAATTAATGTCCTCCAAGCTGTCCTGTCGTTAACAGGCATTCTCAGGTCTTTTCCTGATTCAGTCCACCATTGAGGGGGGACATGAGGGGAGATACGATTGATCTCTTGTAGGATTTGACGGGCTGTCCCTTAGAGGAGAGCAGGGAGCTGTTCCTGTGGGCAGCAGAGGAGAGGACTTGCAATAACGGGTTTAAATGAAGGGCAGGAAGGTACCTGCTGGATATTAGGGAAACCTTTTGACAGTAAGAATTGTGCAAGAGTGGAATCAGCTGCCTGGGGAGGTGGTGAGCTCCCCCTCCCTGGCAGCCTTCAAGCAGCGGCTGGACAAACCCTTGTCAGGGATGCTCCAGGCTGATCCTGCACTGAGCAGGGGGTTGGACTAGATGGCCTGTAGGACCCCTTCCAACTCTATGATTCTATGTTCTGTTGGGTCTTCCTCTTTTCCTGCTGCCTTGAACTCTTCCTAGCATTATTGTCTTTTCCGGTGAGTCTTGTCGTCTCATAATGTAACCAAAGGACGACAGGCTCGGTTTAGTCATTTTAGCTTCTAGGGAGAGTTCAGGCTCGATTTGGTCTCGAACCAACTCATTTGTCTTTTTTGCCAGTTCAGGGTAATTTGCAAAAAACTCTCCTCGAACACCGCATTTCAAAGGAATCCGCTTTCTTCCTGCCGTGGCCTTTAAACAGGATTAACAACTGGTTTACATTTGTAGTTCGGAGCCCCCCCCCACCTGATGCCATGGTCCAAACCCAACAACCAGGCTCTGAACTTGCATGGCGCTTTGGAACACATCCATCTGGAAAGGGAGCCGGGCAGCATCTTCAGGACTGGGGAAGCTCAACATCTTAAACTGCTGCCATTCCTTGGGGAAAGGAGGAGGAGGAGTTGGTTTTTATCAAGTGGTTAAGACGCTGAACGACAGGCGGTGGAAGGTCAGTAGTTCAGCAATTCGAGACCCGAGTGTGCCGCATGACGGAGTGAGCTCCCGTCTCTAATTCCAGCTCCTGCCAACCTAGCAGTTCGAAAGCAAGAAATTGCAAGTAGATAAATAGGTACCACTTCGGTGGGAAGGTAACAGCGTTCCGTGCGCCTCGGTGTTTAGTCATGCCGGCCACATGACCACGGAAACGTCTTCGGACAGCGCTGGCTCTTCGGCTTGGAAACAGAGATGAGCACCGCAACCCTAGAGTTGGACTCGACTGGCTTTCGAGCAAGGGAACCTTTACCTTTACCTTTTTTTTCACTACCCAAAGGAATCTTGGAGCATCTTACAATCGCCTTCCCTTCCCCTCCCCATAGCAGTCACCTTGTGAGGCAGGTGGGGCTGAGAGAGCTCTGAGAGAGCTGTGACTGACCCAAGGTCATCCAGCTGGCTGTATGCGGAGGAGTGGGGAAATCAAACCCGGTTCTCCAGATTACAGTCCATCACTCTTAACCACTACACCAAACTGGCTCTCTGCTGGATCAGACCGTTGGTCCATCTAGTCCAGCATCAGCATCCTGTCTCAGACAGCGGCTGACCAGTTGCCCTGGAAGGCCAGCAAATACAGCACGGAGTTCTTCTCCTGATGCTGCCTCCTCACATGGGCATTCAGAGGCTGACTTTCTCTGGATGTGAGATTCCCTTTAGCCATCAGGACAAGCAGTCATGGATGGCTGCTATCTCCTTCATGCAGCTAATGAGTGAGCATGAAGCCGGATGCACCAGGACAGCTACTGCACGCTGTTGAACACTGTACTAAAGGAGCCGTTCGCAACTGGATTTCCTTGTGCAGACGAGAAAGTCAAACTGCAAATGATCCCTAGAGTGCAATGACAGCACCATATCCAGATGTGTGGCTGCAGTTACACCCTCGCTACAGTGCTGGGATTCTACTAGTGGATCTTACGAAATGTCCAGTGTTATGTATTCAGCCTAAGCCTTTCTTCTAGCTGTACCTAGAACAGGCTGAGCTGGATTGAGAAACTAACCTATAGATAAGCAGTGTAATGTAAATAGCCTATCACTGGGAGTGGGTGTGTGTTCACAGAATCACAGAATCATAGAATGTTAGAGTTGGAAGGGACCTTGCAGGTCATCTAGTCCAACCCCCTGCACTCTGCAGGAGCACAGCCGAAAGATAGCCCTACGCACGGGTCGTTTCGTAGAAAAAGAGCTAGGGGGACTCATTAGCATAACTCATTAGCATATGCCACACCCCCTGACATCACCGGAAGTGTGTCATAAGGCCACACCCCCTGACATCACCGGAAGTGTGTCATAAGGCCACATACCCCGCCCCCAACGGTCCCGGCCGCCGCTGCCGGCCTTGCAGCTTCACTGCCGAGCCTCATGAGGGGCCCGGCGGTGGACCTGCAAGGCCGGCAGGAGTGCAAGGAAGCCCCGCAAAGGCCCTCCCTGGCCCCAGGCAGGCAGGGGTGGGGAGAGGCAGGGAGGAAGCAACTTACCCTCCCTCTTCTCCTGCCTCCTCCTGGCTGAATGAGGGCCGG